CAACAAAGATACTTCCCGCGTTTACCCAGATCCAGGACGCCACCCGACCGCTACGCCGACGAACCCTGGGACGCTCCCGAGATACGACCGCATACCTACCCGAGCAGGAGCCTCGATCCGAGTAACCCTTCAAGCAAGACATAGACCGAAAATTCATCCGAGGTATGACCCGATATTGTACACTCTCTCTCGGCGCGGTCCCTTCGAACAACGCGCAAGTAGTTAGTGTTTGTATGTTAGGATTATGTAGTCTAAATAAATGTTTGTTTGTTTATTAAAAGGTCGTCTTTATTTCGGGTATCGTTAACGCTTTACCGTCGTCCCCTCTCACCTCCTCCACTCGACCTGACAAAAGAATCCCGACTTTACGGGATAGAAAAAGCATTTTTTAAGCCATCCACTGACCAGTGGGCAGTTCTCACCGAACTGTTGCCTATCAAAAAGAGGTACGACCTCGTCCTACCTCAGGCTACCCACATCTGGTTAGCAAATTATCTTTTATTTTTCATTGGATTACAAATATATTTCGGATTGGTACAATGTATTCCAACCCCTCTTCAGTGATATTACAAATAAAACAAGAAATATTAAAACATGACTATGTTATATTGCATGAAACAAATCAAATCACAAAAACACTTACATTTTCCAATTTTGTAAATTATAAAAATTGTTTCTTTTTTCATCTCAAATTAGGGAGTGGGAGGCAAACCGTCCTCATCCTTAATCAATATATATTTTAGCCTAAAATTGTGTATTCCATATTAATATACATTTAAAAACTCAAACTATAATTCTAACAGACAACCTTCTAAATACTCACAATCGTAAAAAAAAAAAAATCTTTCACACATGGGTGTATAACAGATGTAGTAAAACCAGTTAACATAGCAAAAAACTTAATATACGTATGTAAAACCGTTTGATACACAAACAACATTTACATCAAACCAGTATCAGATTTACAATGAAAAAGTTCTTTTACAAAATAATTTTAAAAAATTATAACAATCTTAGCTTATTTTAGCGCCATCTATTAACTCATAATCTATAATTCTGTATTTAATAATAAACATCATATTAACTCATATCTATAATTTTATATTTAATAATAAACATCATATTAACTCATATCTATAATTTTATATTTAATAATTTAAAACATATTTATAAAATTACTAAATAATTGTTTGAGGCACAATTACTATATTGTATTTTTACGTTATGTATTAATACATAAACTTTAATTGTTGCAAATTTGAAAGTATTAGATTTTTTATCATACAGGTGATCACGAGACAACAATATAATAACAACGAAGCTAGAAAATTGCGTTATCAAAAAAAGCTGCAATGACTTATTTGAAATGTAATGAGATTAATTTAGTCATTGAAACCAGGTGGAAAAGATATAATGTCTACCATTGTGTTAAAAATTAAATATTCTACATAAAATATTGTACATAAAATATTCTACATAGTTATTTTATTAAATCGCAATTGTTGCACATAAGATCCTTCATAACTTCACCTATTCCACCTGGCAGAGAGAATGAGACTCGGGTAAAATGCGCGGGTCATCCATAAGTTTCTGCCTACAGTTAAAAACACTCCTACGCACTTCACTCCCATGTTTCATCTCACGCCGTTCATAACTGGGCATGGAGTCATTAACTCCTATCTGGCCCGGTTTTTGAAAAAAACAAATGGGAATTGTATGCACTGCCTCCAAATAGAGGAGACTTCAGAGCATTTTATGTTCGAATGCCTGGAGCTGTAGCCTTTCATTTTCTATAGAAAATTAAAGACTGGAGCTAGTCTCAGCTGTCTTAAAAGACAATATGTCTTGGTCCTGCACGCCCAACATTTTTTTGAGGACAAGAATTTGTATAAGAGTTTTTTAAATTACATGAACAAGATCGTGCTTGCCAGGCATTGCATTTGCTGTGGCCCTCTTTCCAGTGAAATCGATAACCTGAGTGGAACAAGCGACAGGGACTGTTAATCATCATTGGTCGTTTCCAATGTGTATATCATCGTCAAGCAAGCATCATCTGTAGGTTAAAGTAAAGTGCGCTTCATATTTGTTGTACATTGTTTCTGAATCCTAATTTTTAATGTTTCTATGTTAATATTTAATTAATATAGTGTTAATTTTTTTATCATTTTGTTTTAAAAAACTTCCTTCTCTCTGTCAGTAATGAGTTGAATAACTGATAAATTTTTTTGCACTCAGAAAAACGTTTTTTTTATTTGTCGACTTGTAATGCCACTATTAAAATCTATAATTTTAATTATATAAATGGCTTGCTGTATATTATATTACAATTGTAAATTCGTCTCTGTAATCCAAAAACACACTTTGGTAGACGTATCTTACAGCAATATCTGGTTAGCAAATTATCTTTTATTTTTCATTGGATTACAAATATATTTCGGATTGGTACAATGTATTCCAACCCCTCTTCAGTGATATTACAAATAAAACAAGAAATATTAAAACATGACTATGTTATATTGCATGAAACAAATCAAATCACAAAAACACTTACATTTTCCAATTTTGTAAATTATAAAAATTGTTTCTTTTTTCATCTCAAATTAGGGAGTGGGAGGCAAACCGTCCTCATCCTTAATCAATATATATTTTAGCCTAAAATTGTGTATTCCATATTAATATACATTTAAAAACTCAAACTATAATTCTAACAGACAAACTTCTAAATACTCACAATCGTAAAAAAAAAAAAATCTTTCACACATGGGTGTATAACAGATGTAGTAAAACCAGTTAACATAGCAAAAAACTTAATATACGTATGTAAAACCGTTTGATACACAAACAACATTTACATCAAACCAGTATCAGATTTACAATGAAAAAGTTCTTTTACAAAATAATTTTAAAAAATTATAACAATCTTAGCTTATTTTAGCGCCATCTATTAACTCATAANGCTGGCGTAAGGTGTGCATGCTTATCTTGTCGTAGATTACAGGAATGGTATTGTCCGTGGTGACTGCTTTGGAAAGCTGATCAGCAAGCTCAATTCCAGGAAGAGTTGTTCATCACGCTCATTACCACGTGTCCAGGTAATGGAGATAATGCTGTTCATGATGTTCCTGTTCTCAGTGACAAGTGAGTGTAGATTATTGCCCTTGATTAAAGCGTAAGCAAATAAACAGTCAGTGATTATTTGGGATGTAACTACAGAAATAGTTGTTTGTAGACCAAACGAGGGCCATTTTAATGGCAAAGAGCTCAGCCTAAAAACAGTGCATAAGTGGCTTAGACGATATTGATGGAACCTTTTTGATGTAAACAACAAAACTGCAGGAGACGAGTCATGGATTTTGAACCTGTCAGTGAAGATTTCCGTATTGGAGATTTTTGAAGTAGAGTTATCAAGGTTGCTGTAATCATTTTCTTACAAAAGGGTATTGGAGAATGGATATGCCGACTCAATTGTAGCAGTTGATCAGACCAGCAATAGAATTAATTTTTTCCCCCATTTGATGTGTAGTGTCTCCCCGTTGATCTGGATAATCAACTCGATAGGGACTTCCTGGAGATGATTTGAATACTGCGATTTGAAGCAGTACGATAGCATATAGCAGGTGTGGCCAAACTTTTATCCTTTAGGGGCTACTTTTTCGGTAAAATGTAGTCTGCGGGCGACTATGAATATGGGAAAACAATTTTAGGATTTTTATATGCGCATGCTTAACATTCATTTGCATTGTTCTTCAAGATGAATACAAACAGTACGGGTATGTTGCACAGACAGTCTATTATTGTAAGAATAAATTATCGAATTAAAAATTTTAAACATTAATTTAATTAAAAGCAAATTGTTCAACTTTAGATTCGCAAGCTATTTTCAAAACCATTGTGGTCGACCGGTCGACCGTGGTCTACGTGCTGGCCATCCCTGGCATAAGTGCCCAACGTTGAGATGAGATGAGTCTTCGTTTGATGTGAACTTGATGTTTTACTTATGCCTGCAACAGCTTTGCTGCTGCAGGCATAAGTAATCAAGAGAATATAAATCTGGTTATAGATTGTGTTCATGGCATTCAATGAAAGACCCCAGATTCTTCTAGCTACCTGAGCAAATTCCTGCATGATTAAACTTGTATGCCTGGTTACAGCTTCAACGTGATCATCCCATAAAAGGCGATGGATCAGTATCACACCAGGATATTTGAGGTGTTTTGCTATTTTGATGATTTTGCCATGTATTTCGATCTGGGGGAGATTTTTTTACTGCGATCAGTTTTAGTCTGAAATAACTAAGGCCCCTTCCTGCTCAGAGAGGACTAAGGGGTCAGAACGTGTAAAGTGAAAAGTGTGTTTGCGCCTTGAGGGCTCATAATATATTTGAACTAGTTATTTGTCAGGGCTCATAAGTTTTGCGTGATGTTTGGAGTCTGTACTTGTTATTTAAACTTAAGGCCGAGAGTTGTGTATGTATATTAGCTGTTAGTAATTGTTAGTGTAAGTAGGGCGGATATCACCAGGTGCTAGAGAGTTAGCAGTAATGGTGACTGAGGGATCTTCCAGATAAAGACGAGAAGTTCAGAGAACAAACATCAATTTGAAAAATATATAAGGTTTGATGATAAATAGAGTATAATTTAAAAATTTGCACAATGTTGGTAATTTAAAAATTCAAATTTTATTAGAGTTTAGCTAGGTATCAGTAAAGAACTAAATGAACTGGAGTTTCGAAAACTTAAAACAGAGGAAAATTTAAATTATTACATTGGTTAATAATATTAATTGCATTACAACTAACGTTATTAATGATTATTTATTTAATTTAACCCTATAACGACCAAATTAACAATTTACTCTGGACAGTCTCTCTTTTTGAGTGTTTAATAACAAAGAAAACAGAAAAGAGAAAAAACAGTTAAATGTAAAAAGCTTTTTAAGGCGTTTTTCAATATTAATAAAATATTGAAAAAGCCTGAAGAAGAACCACGTTTGATGAAGAACCACATTAGCGTAGCGCCTGAAGAAGAACCACATTAGGATCGAAAACGTTTGCAAAGTCCTTCGTATTGGAGAAAAACACCGGTTACAGGCAGTGAAGTTAAGTAATTAATAAAATCAATAAAATGTTGTAGGCAAGACGATATTACATCTAATACGTAAGTAAAAATTCCTTAAACAATATTTACACGACGTTAATAAAAGAAACACATGACTTCATCTCTTTTTATCCACATATTTTCCATACCCGAAGAACGGTCTTACCGCAGACTCAAGTTTTTATTATAGGTTTATATATGCTTTAGAATGTAAAATATTTTTAAAAATTATCGTCCCCAAACGATAAAAGTGCATTTGTATGTATACATATTCATATATATTATATCTGGCGTAAGGTGTGCATGCTTATCTTGTCGTAGATTACAGGAATGGTATTGTCCGTGGTGACTGCTTTGGAAAGCTGATCAGCAAGCTCAATTCCAGGAAGAGTTGTTCATCACGCTCATTACCACGTGTCCAGGTAATGGAGATAATGCTGTTCATGANCACCCTTCGGTCCACATTAGGCCGAGTTTTCGAGGTTCTACTGTATCACTGTATATTTGTCGGTAAGGCCATCATCTAAATTAAGAAGAAAAATTGTTGCACATGACAATAGGGAGATTACAGCGCTTTCAAACTGTAATAAAATATACTGCAGGTCGTGAAAAAGTATTGGTTTTCGTAAAATTTCTCTGAAATAAAGGTCATAAACTTGAAAACCACTGTGGTAATCGCATCAGAACATGTCAGTTGAGAAATGCTGAAAAGTCCGAATTTCATCTGTTTTATTTTAAAGAAATTCAATAAAAAACCGCAATGTATTTGCGGGTTACATATGCGCCTAAATGCAGTTAATAAACGAAAATTCCTAAATTTATATATTACAGTCACTCTCATTTTTGCATTCATAAAATTTAAAAAAACAAAAATTATATAAGGCATTGTGTCACAAAACTTTCTAAAATAATCTACAAAAATCAATGGAAAAAATTAGATTATTTTCAGGTCAAATTTTAGTTTATTTTAGAGTTATTCGATTTAAATCAACGTGATTATAATAGTCAAATAATAATTTTTTCAGATTTTTCAAACAATTTAAAAATTTATGTGAAGTAATTAAAAATGTGGGCATGTAATAACAGATTAAATTTAGAAATTCGATTTAAATCAACGTGATTATAATAGTCAAATAATAATTTTTTCAGATTTTTCAAACAATTTAAAAATTTATGTGAAGTAATTAAAAATGTGGGCATGTAATAACAGATTAAATTTGGAAAATTGCTTTAATACAATAAAATCAGCGTGCCAAAGTCATTTATATAAAAACTTTTAGTATTTATTTACGAATATTTAATTATTACATGTATATGAAGCGTATAAATTAGTTGAGAAGACAATAATGTTTTTAACAACAGATCGCAGTAATTTAGATTCTTTAACTAATTTACTTACAATACCAAAGAATGTTAGAGATTTAAAGTTATAGTATAACGATTTCAGAAGATCTTGTATTCGAATTTTTTTTTCCCTCAGATTGTTTCCAACGATGAAATAATCTCAGAGAAAATATCTCTTCAGGAGCTCAACTGATGTTAGTTCAAAATGTATTTTATCAGATAATGTTGCCAAATCTTTGTTTTCTATCTACCCTTTAGGTATATTTATTTTTTAATTTAATAATACGTATATACGTACGTACTATAACGCGGTCCTTAAGGGGAGTTTTTAAATTTTTTTTTGAAATTTTTGAAATGTTTTTTAAGTCCCCAAATTATTTCAAAATTTTTTGCCTTCGCGAAAAAAATTTATCGCGATTTTAATGAGCTTTTGATAAGGCTCGATTAAGGCTTAATTGTTTTTTACTGGGAGTTTTTTATCAAATTTATTTCATGGTTCCTAAGTTATAGTGCACGGATTTTCCTTCCGTAAAGTTATTTAAAGCTGCTTTTTGATGTCAAAAACGATCTTCAATAGCTTTTAAATTTTTTAAATTAATATATTTTATTTTATATAAATTCGATTAATTCGGGGTATCGGAAATCGCAATAAAATTTTTAATTTAAAAAAAAAATATTTAAAAATATAGGCCTAGTTAGTATTCACCCTACTTTAAACTCTTGTCCTTCCGAGACGTGTATGAGAATGTCCCGGGAAAACCAACTCCAGCTGTGTTCAAGGTCACCCAGCTGTGTAAACAATGACTCATCAGTGTTATATCTCAGAGAAAGGCGAGACAAAGGAAAATAAAATTTAAAGCTTTTTCTTCAAAATTAACGCATTTCTTTCGTTTTTTTCAAGTAGTTTTTACGTTTAATTAAATTAATATAAAAAATGTCAATGTCCTTAAGGGGTTAATTAAATTCTTTGGCTAAGTTGGAAACGCTAGAGAGATTGCAGCCAAAGTTTTCATCTCTAAAACGTGAACATTGAGTGCTGCCATCTTGTAAGCCTAGAAATCTGATAATGGCTTTTAGAATGACATTATTCCAATGACATTCCGAACGCCACTGTCAAACTTCTAGACTTTCAAGATGGCGGAGCTCAACATACACATTTTAGAGATGAAAACTTCAGCCACAACCGCTNTGCTTTCACTTAAATTAATGTTTAAAAATCTTAATTTGATAATTTATTCTTACAATAATAGACTGTCTGTGCAACATACCCATACTGTTTGTATTTATCCCGATGAACAATACAAATGAATGTTAACGCATGCACATATAAAAATCCTAAAATTGTTTGCCCATATTCATAGTTGCCTGCAGATTATATTTTACCAAAAAAGTAGCCCCTAAGGGATAAAAATTTGGCCATACCTGTAATAACTGATTAATGGGCATTCGGAATGAGAACAACACATTTGTGCTAACCGAGGGGGCTGAAGCGGAGAGCTTCTCCCCACTTACCGGCTTGGCTGTCAGGAAATGGCTATAGGAGGGCAAAAGGAGTGGGAGGCGTAACGATCAGGTGTCCAAAAGACTACACGGGTTTAAATTAACGAACACATTTAATAAACAAGTAAGAAAATTTACATAAAGATAATAAATATAACACTCGCGTATCAAGATATAAATAGGTATTCTGAAATCTATTCTAACCTAACGCTAAAATCCGAGAGAGAGAGAGCTTACGTTAGAGAAAGATAATTATGGGAAGGGTTTACCTCGTAGGATATGCTCGTATAGGGCGTTGATGAAACGCACTATGATCGTCGTCTTCTAAATTCGAGGTGTCCTTTTTAAGGCTATGTAGAGCGATGTCCTTATCAGGCCTTGCGGCTAGGTCCGGTTACGGTGTATGCTCCGTCGCTCCCAATCTGTAGAGTTCTTCCTTGGCGAAGTTCTTTGGAGGTTTCTTCGGATAACCTATCCGAGGAGTAATTCCGTCGTATATGGAGAAAATAGAAAATATTCAGTTTTTATTTTTCATGGAGCCACGATTATGAGCTGCTTAGATCCTGAGAGAGCTGGAAGATCCTGCGTCGATGTTTCTTCCCCGACGATCGCTCTCCAGGTGTCAGATCGTTCCCCTTTTATACCCTTTAGCTTGGGAAAAACCTGGGAATTTGTTGACGTCTTTTTCACAGTTCTCCCTGATTTATGACAGTTTCCCCCGCCGTAGAGAAATTCACTACCTTATTTGGACATTGTTTGGTCGCTCGGACGTATGGGGGTCACGTGACATCGTGGATCCTCGTCGATGACCTTCGAACGACGAAAGTCACCCTCGCTAACTACTCAGTTAGTGTGAAATTAAAAATAGCGTCCGCATTCTCACAATTTTATATTAAATAGTTTAAAAATCTACTCATTATCTGAACCATTTCGAAACTTTTCAAATTTCATTTTGGCCCACTGTCACTTTGATGTCTTGAAAAAATAATTATTGTTAATTATAAAAATTTCATTTTTTATTCTGTTGGTCAAGGAAGCAATAGAAACGAAAACTATTGTTTAAGTTTAGTATGTTAAAGCCATTTAAGAGCAGTAGTTTTATGTATCACACCAGGATATTTGAGGTGTTTTGCTATTTTGATGATTTTGCCATGTATTTCGATCTGGGGGAGATTTTTTTACTGCGATCAGTTTTAGTCTGAAATAACTAAGGCCCCTTCCTGCTCAGAGAGGACTAAGGGGTCAGAACGTGTAAAGTGAAANTGTATTCCAACCCCTCTTCAGTGATATTACAAATTTAGCAACGAATTTCTTAAGTGACTTTTTAGTGGCGATATATAATATGACAGTTCAGTTTATAAATTGTTTATATCGTTTCAATTGTGTAATGGCAAAAAGACTAATTTTTATAATTAAGAAGGCTTTTATAGTCATTGTAAATGCCAATAATAAAAAACATCGTCGTAAAGTTTAACCACATTGAAGATACAGACGACCAACATTATTTCTGCACCCCTTGACATTTCATCATCAAAATTTAATAGCACAAATCGTCTAATCAAAAAATAGTTTGTAAAGTTACAAATTTTCAACAAAAAACACCGGAGTTATTGATTAAGATATGTTGAGACAATATAAATATCTACTTTATTAAAAAATCATATAAATAAATATCATAAAAATTTTATGAATATCTGTCTATTCGAACAACTTTAGTTCTGTCGATTCTAAATAATAGTGTATAATCTTTTATTTCCTGTGTTTTAAAACTATATTATTAATTAACAATAAAGTAATAATAAATATTTTATAGCATTGAAAAATCTCATGCAAAATATGCTACTATTGGACATTTCTCATTATTCACATATACAAGAATTTTTAATTTGCTTAACTTTCTGGTTTATAGCATTTCAATGAAATCAAAATCAACGAATTAATAAACAGATTTTGGTTTATAAGATATAAATCTATTGTTATCTATCTGATTGGTTAATACATTTATAAATCATTTTTAATTTTTTAGTGTAAATGCTTTCCTATGATTTTGATTAGAATTTTGTATATTATATATTTAAAGTATTTGCTAGGAAAAAAGTATGAAAAGAGCTTTAATTACTTTATCGATTTCAAGATTGTNGGAATGTGTTTCTAAAGTCCTAGTCAACAGAACTACTCAGAATATATCGTTTTTATACATTTACAACGAAAACAAAAAAGTCTTACGTTTTAGCAATTTTTCAAAAAAATTTATCAACATCAAAAGCGTTTTTTACAAACCATAAACAAGTCTGTTGCTATCTATGCTTTGATTTGCTTTCTCGTATGTGTTTTTTAACTGTCCCAATAACTAAATGCTTTTTCTCAAATACTGGGCCAAAAATATTTCTGTATTTCCAAAAATACATTTTCTAATATTTTACAGCAACTATAAATAAAAATGCAGATCATTGGCCGATAACATAAAGAGTAAACTTTTTTACACTGTAGTTAATTAATTTCTTTTTATATTATTAAATCCACTAGAAAAAAACAATTACCAGAAAAATTTCCGCGAAATGCCACACTCCTGTAGACTACCACTTCGAATTATGTAAACAATCGCTATAAAATCGCGTATTTTAGAATAAACATTTTTTTTATTTCTAATTTTGTCAAGTTGTTAGACAATATTTAGATGAATAAACATGATTTCAAAACTATTTGCAATGAATATTCCCTGGAAACTGTTCCTTTCAAACTTTCAATGATAAGTCTATGAAAGACTTATTTGCTGTTAATTAGCATTGAAAATCCTGTATATACATCTTTTATGTTCCAGTTAATCATTTCTATTATAACTAACCCGATATCAGAAAATGAGCATATTTTCGAAAACCTAACTCGGTTCTATCCCCTCGGTTAGTCCCGTTATTATACTTTCTCCGTCAGGCGCGAAGGGTACTACGGTTATTCCTGATTTTCAGTGTGTCTTCGGGTGAAAATTGTTTTCGTTCAAATTTAAAACTTTTTCAGTGCAGTGTTCAGTACTTTGAAAGAAGGTACTAAAGACATCAACACCCCTTCTCCATGTGCCTAACTCAATTAAAATCAATTGGTTTAATAACTTGATTTTACTGTTATCAGGCAAATTTGTACTCTCGGGTGATTCTTTTATATTAGAACCTATTCTTATTTAAACGTATATGCGATATTATTATTAAACGCGTAAAAACAATAATTTAACAATATATTTTAAAAAACGGCAAATAAAAACTCTTAGATTAAACAGTAGTGTACAAATCTGAAAATTATTTTATAGTATCAAAATTCCTTTATAAATCTGACCCTATGAATGTTCAGGGTAAAAGTTTTCTTTTAATTTTTGCAAAAAAACTTACAACAAATGTTTGTAATAAGGCGCAGTATGTTATAACGATATCCGTTATATGCATGTACTGTACAATCTATTCTGGTAGGTTAAAATTTCAGATAATTTCTCCCTAAAAGTTGTCAGTTTTTTGAAGTTGACAAATGAAGCAAAATTCTAGTATTTAGAATGTATTACTATAATTTATTAATGATAAACACTTTTAATAGGAGATCATAACCATTCCTACGTTTGGAGAATATCAGGAATCGAGGTAAATAAATACATTTCATTTACTCTATCATTAAATCTATATAATCAAATAATTGCTGATAAATAATGTTTTACTTTTTTCTCAGATTTCAAAGTATATGAAATATGACGGAACTAAAACACAAATAACAGGTGGAAAGTATTTTTTGCTTTTTAAAGTTATCCACGATAAACTAAGGTTTAGGTAAGTTACAAAGTAAAAGCAATCTTAATTAAAAACAATAATTGTCTTTCGTTTGGATTTTAAAAAGTTAAGTACTGTGAGCAGAAAGAATAGTTAAAAACCATCATTATTGCTCAAAATATCGAACTCTAGAATGTATAGCTACTTTCCTATAATTTGTATACATTATTTTTAAGTTTTTTTCTTTGAAAAGTTAGTTTTACTAAAGTTTTTAAACAGCTTTAAAACTGAATGATATTTCATTATATATAGTCTTCAATTTGAAGACGATGATACGTAAATTATTCTAAAAATCTTTTATTCGCGAATTAATAAACTTCTTCTTCGTCTTGAGCTGTTTTCTTACACATTTTTACGCAGACATGAATAAAAGTTATGTATTATTCGATTTTTAACTGTTAAATACAAGTAAATTTTTGGTATTTTCCTGTCATAGTTTATTACATAGAATGAAAGTTTACGAAAATAAATTCTATATTCGAAGAAAATTATCCTTGGAAAATATATTTTGTATTTTCGATTCGCTTTCTTAAATTGTCAAAAAAAATTGTAATTGCAGAAAACAAAAAACATGAAGTTTTTATGTAAATTGTTTTATGTTATGTATTCATTAAATGTTAAACAACAGAACATAAAAAATAGAGTGGGTCTAGGATAAAAATTCAAAGATATTATGCTTCGTAATTGATTGCAATGTTATTTATGAGAAAAAGTTTTTTTTTTTATACAAAAAAAGTGTTTAAAATTAAAGCACTAAAATGTCTAAACTACTTATAAAAATAATTGATAATTAACAAATGCAATAGAATTCAATATATATGTCTGCGTATTATAATGTATTATGGTAATAAAATTTGAACAAATATTTTAAGACATAACATGCGTTTAGGAATCCCAGATGAATTGCTTGAGTATCCCAAATGCTAGATAAGTAGTTACAGTTGGCATTAGAGATATCAATGGACTATATATCGTAAAAAGGAATACTCAAGCTATAGAAGTTAATGCTTGAATGAATGTTGCATTTGACAGACAACAAATTCACATAGTGTTTGCGACAAATGGATTATAAAACAGTTACAGAAAACACAAGTGCAGAATACAAAAAGGTAACAGTTCATATCAATAATGAAAAATAAACTGTCAGAAAGATTTCTGTAAATGGACATCGTATAGATATTGTCAAGCATATACTGCTTAAAAAATTCTTGTTTACAATTTGCCATTGCGATTTTCAATGTAATTTTTTTAGAAAGCTTATAATTCTTGGCCGGTGCCGCCATATTGCTAACCAAATATTTTATTAAGCTCATTAAATAATAAATCATCAAACACCTGATGCTGAGAGAAACGTTTATTAGAGAAATCTTAACATTTTTTATCTAATATGATAGGCCATTTCCATATGCAAGTACTGTATTCTCGAACGTATTTCATGTATAATATTTAAACGTCAGAACGTTTAAATACTTCTACCTTTCAAATCGAAACTATAGATAAAATATTTAAGTCAAAATATCTAATATTTTGACTTAAAGGTAAGAGTGTCCTAACGTTTTAATATTAACCGCTTGATTCCCAATTAATTTTTAATTACATTATAATTAAATATAAAAAACACTTAAAACTGGAAAAAAAACGAAAAGAAATGCGTTCATTTTAAAGAAAAAGCTTCAAACTTTATTTTCCATTGTCTGGCCTTTCTGTGACTACATTGTGTAAACACAATGGCACCAATGAGTCATTGTGTTTACAGCTGGATGACCTTGAGAACAGCTGGTGTTGTATTTCCTGGGATATTCTCATACAAGTCTTATAAGGAGAATGGTTTAAAGTAAGGTAAATACTAGCTGGTCGTATATTTTTAAATAGTTTAAAAAAATTAAAAATTCCATTGTGATTTCTGACCCCCCCGATTTAATTAAACGTATATACAATAAAATATATTAATTTAAAAAATTAAAAAACTATAGGAGGTCGTTTTTGATATCAGAAAGTAGCTTTAAATAACTTTACCGAATTAAAATCGGTGCAATATAACTTTAGAACGATAAATGAAATTCTATTAAAAAATCTCATTAAATCACAATTAAGTGATAATTAGGCGTCATTAAAGGTAGATTAAAATAGCAATAAATTTTTTCGCTCAGAAAAAAATTTTTGCAAAAATTGACCTAAAAAACATCCAAAAATTAGAGAAAAACATTTTTAGAGACGAAAAGGACCGAGTTTTCCATAACGCTATACAAACTTGATGAGTTTTCTGGTGAAAGGGGAGAAAGGATTTAAATTAATTAAATACGTTTGAGAATACCTGCAACTGAAGATAGTTTGACAACGTTAAGGTTTCTTTGATAAATGGATTCTTTCAGCATCAGGTAGGACTATTTATTATTTAAGGAGCTGAGTAAGATATTAGCAACATGGCAGTACTGGCCAAGAATTATAAGCTTTATAGAAAAATGGCATTGAAGATCATAAAGGCAAATTTTAAATTAGAATTTCTTAAGCAGTGTATGCTTAACAATGTCTATTCGATGTCCATTTATACTGTAGAATCAGTATACCAAAGAAATGTGTTTTATTGAAAAAAAATCGTCGAAAAAAATATAAGAATTCAGAATTGCATTCAAGTATAAACGTTAGTTTTAAGAGTAATAACTAATTGTTAAAAAGTAAATTACAGCATGAACGAAATGAAAACGGAACATAGAGAAAAGGCAGGGAGCAAAAGGAAAAAAAAACAAAGGAACAAAGCCAAACCTAGCATAAAAGTATAAATATTGTTTGCACATGTTACACTCAAATACATAAAACAAAAATAATCTAATAAATGTTAAATATGATATTAAATATAATGAAAATTCATAAACCAGAAAAAATGAAAAATGCGTTTTTCCATAAAGATCGTGACTTTTTGCAAACCCCAGATGATTTGCATTGTTAGATAATAAAAGATAAATAGAAAAATTGAATACGAAATCGTAAATACCGATGCGTAAGACAACTTGGCTATTATAGATTAGTCAAGTGATGTTTGTGAGTTGAGACAGATGCGATATTATTTGTTGGCATAACGCGATTGACGATGGAACAAATGAAAAATTGCCAAACATATAGGTATTTAGTGTTATTTTGCAAACACTAAACAATAAAAAATCAGGAGTCATTTATAAAATGCGAAATTTTAAACTGAAAATTTTCTAAACTCGTGAGCCGTGTCAGATGCAACCAAAAATTATGTCGTCTGGAAAAATTCCTTAATTTTGAAACTATGTAAGGGCAAAACTGTGTTGGATAAATGCCATCTTGTACAAAAAATACCGGTATCTTACTGAGATATCGATGATCATAAAATGAAATCATTTTACGATTTTTAAGAATACGCAGTAATATTAAAATTTTAATTTCTTTTTTATTGATTTACTTTTTCACATTATACCAGCATTGGAATTTTTTTTATTGATTTCAGATATTATATATATAACTTTGGTATCTGTAAAAATATACATAGTGTAAACGGTTAATTATATTGTTACTGTTTCTTATCCTGAAAAATGTTATATACATATCTAATTATAAAATTTAATTAGTTATCGTGTAGTGCATCCGATTGCTAATCATATAGGGTATGTAAAACTTAACGATACGTGGACCGGAGTTATAGGACAAGTTATAAATCAGGTGAGTAAACTGAAAATACAAGTACGTTATGTGTAAAATACTGTAACAATTGTAAAATACTGTAACAAAGGTTCCAAGATGGCGACGTTTCCGGTCGCCATTTTAAATTACTCTAGAGACTGCTCAAAAATGTTATTTCGATCGGAGACCGCGTGACTCCTCGGCAGTAATAGACTAATAAATTAAAATCAAGAAAAATTTACTGACATCAATGATTTTTGTTTTATTCGATCCTAAATTTTTCACTGACTTCATAGATACTTTTTTGTTAGTCGCTGTTCTTTTCTTCCCCGTTTGTGTCGATTCGGCCACTCTTTTAAAGTTTTTTTTTTTTGTTTCCCCGTATTCGATTTAGTTCTCGGCTTTTCATTTTCGTTGGGTTTTTTTTATTGTTTTCCTTTTTTTTCGTATTCGTCACTGGTGCTGACAGACAGTTTCTGGTTAGAGCCATTCTAGTTTTTTCCTGTCCCTGGATAGATTATAGCTAAATGTTGAGCAAGAATTTGGAATTTTTCTTTGGGTTCTCTAACGGGCCAGCTCATGAATGTTTTATACCTAAATAAGTACAGTACGTTTCGGAGTCTGACAGGTCGCTTGTATAGTGCTTTGGCAAGTGTTTTTTATTCTTTAAATACGCCCATAAACGTCTTACGTTTTGAGTGTTTTCTGCAGTTTCGGGGTTTACAAAATTTTCGAATAGAGTACTGTTCTGTGTTTTATATTTACTCCTTCTATGTCGACTACATGCTTATATCCTTTCCATTCGTTGGTTATTATTGTACTGCCGAAAATTCATATATTTATAAACAGCCTAATTTTAAAGTAATTTCTGATCTATCATTTACCTGACATACGAAACTATTCTTATCCTCCCTGCATATACTGCTGACAACCAATTTTGTAGATTTTCACAAACGCCCTTACTCATACTTTCTTTTGTATATTACAGTTTTGTCAATGTCAACCGTTTTATTCGCCTCTTTTATTTTAATAGATGTCAGTTTATTCAAAGCTATTATTCAAAGCATTACTAACCTTATTTGATTAGAGCAGTCAACGCCAGCTTTTTTGGATATACTTGCCTCAAGTGCCGAATTGGTTACTGTACATTCAGAAAAATGGTAGTGCAAAATAAATGACAAAATACGACCCGAAAAAACATGGTTGAATTTACTTTTAAACGGTCCTTCGTAATCTAAACACTGCTGTCAGTTTTCGAACTACTACTGATCGATTTGCGTAATTCCACAGTAAACTACTTGTACCATGTCAAAGCTTACGAATTTGCATATTCGTTCATAACAACATTACACATCCCGTCAATTAACTAATTAAACTTTTACATCACGTCACATTATTACGAAAGAGCGCCCTCTATCACCATTAGCGCGCATGTCTCTGTTTTGAGATTACCGGAAACGTTGCCATCTTGGAACCTAAGGTAACATTAACCGTAAAACTTATCGCTTATCGCTAAAGTATTGATGTAGTTTTTAAAAATGTAACTTACAACTTGAAAATAAAATTATTATTAATCTTTTATTTGCTACAAACCATATTGTAAAATATATTAAAATTTGGGAGTAAATTTACTAAGAGTTTTCCTTTCATAATGAATTTTATATATTTAGGAAGCAGATATCGCTTTTGTACCAACGGGGATCACTTACGATCTCTTTTCTGCGATGCGGTTTTCGTCCACACTTAGATTTTCTGAGCACGTTTTTATCATTACAGTTCCAGATAAGGTTTCTGATTGGAATTCTTTAATGAAGCCTTTTTCCTTGGACGTAAGTCACTGTAACATCTTAATTGATATTATATTCAAATTGAAACTATATTATTTATGTAATTAGGTATGGATCGCTGTATTTTCAACTGTATTAATACTTGGACTGTCTCTGCATATAATTGTTAAAAAGGACTTAATCGTTGCGAAGAATAAGAAACTTTGGACACGTTGTCGTATTTTTTGGGATTTATTTTGCACATTATTTGGTCAAGGTAAAATTTATTAATTATGTTATGTTATAGTGGTTATTAGTTACAATATGTTAATGTTTATAATATTAATAATACCAATTAGGATTTGATATACAGAATATAGAAAGCTTTGCATCCAGATTTATAATAGGAATTTGGTGGTTATCGATTATTGTCTTACTATATGCTTACAGCGGAACGTTAATGTCTTTTATGGCATGTCCTATAACTGAGTCGTATCCTAAAGATTTTCACGAACTTGCTACTTTTGTTCGTAACGGTGAGTATTCATGCGGATCAAACGAAGGACTGAGCGTATGGAAAGGTATCAAAGTAAGTGTGTGGTAAAAATTCAGTTTTCCTATTTATAATTCGTCTGTTTTACAGAGACATTATTATTAATTATAGGAATCGAAGTCAAAAGATACCAAAATTTTACGAGAAAACATATTGTCAGATAATAACTTGATGACTGTTCCACAAGCAATCAAGAAAGTACAGAGTGAACGATTTGCATACATAGTTTCTCAATATGTGATAAATCAGTACATCAGTAAATTAAAAAAAAATAAATATATAATGTCCACAGATTCTCTATATACATTTATCATTGCTTTTCCAATTTGTAGAAATTTTTTTTTCAAGAAAGCTATAAGCAACACGTAAGACAAATATACAATTATATAAAACAATTTATGTTTACTTTTGTGTAAATACAGACATTTCTTTTTAGAGTAAGTCGCTTGTTTGAAGCAGGAATTCTTTATAAATTGTTACCAATAGAAGTTGAAAGATTTAATGAAAAGTCTGAATTCCAAGCGTTATCAGTCGAAGACATTAAAAGTCTTTTGTTATTCACAAGCATTGGATATTTGTTGTCTATAATCGTCTTATCAATCGAAATAATATACACAAAAGTTACAAAAACTCTTACTCGGAATAACTTTTATTAATTGAAAATTTACTAAACTAACGTATTAATATTATATTTAT